ATACACACACACAAACGCACATTTATTCACTTAAAACACCTTTTTATTTGTATGCCTGGCCTTGTAATTGGTTGATATACGGGGAAAATCCTAAGTAACATCTCAATGCCGGGTTTCTGAGGTCGTCTAAACATTACAATACCCTAGTAGTGAATATTTATCAGATCGCTTTAATTGTCCATAGACATATTGAGAAGTGAAGACTTGAGCAAGTTGCCAGTGATTGCTCCTCGGCTAGAGTCAGTCACCAGTCACTTAAGTCAGTGGTTCCTCACGGTGTTAGGACAACGTTTCCAAAGGACCGTGCTGCCATGAGAGACATAAGTCAATATAGGGAGTTTTCATAAAGCAGAGTTTATTCAATTTTTTTTAAAAAAGTGAAGTTCATAGGTTTTCTACTTTTTGGAAGTTAAATGTCCTTTATTTTATGAGGTGATGGTGATGTGACTGCAGATGATAAAATTTCTCCATAATCTCTCTCTTTGGCAAAATAAAAATAAAATGATTCCTCCTCATCAGTCCCCCAAAGTTCTTCTGGACATTTAGGGATTATTGTTGGGATTCCTCTCTTTGTTTACAACACCCTTTGCCTGCACCAACATCTCTTGCCCTCTTTGGCATCCCAATGGCATTTACTATTCTCCAAATCAATTTAAAAATTCAAGGTCATGCTGGAATTAGTATGCTCATCTTTCCCAGTGACCATGCATGCTTTCTGTGATAATTACCCTCAGGTTTTGTAGGAAAACAGAACCCCAGAGATGCATTCACATATGCAAATATGCACTCAATAAAAATCTGCTGAGTGCCTGTGTGTTGGAGAAACAGCAGTGACTAAGACAGATGAGTCCCAGTTCCCTCGAGACTCATTTTCCACGAATTGTGGGGTAGAGCTGTGGGGGCAGGGCACGGAGATTAACAATAAATAGGTAAACACTTAAGCCACGGAATTCCATATTGTGATAAATCTGAAGTTATGGATAAGTTTCCAGTTTATGTGCATAATTACCAGAATAACTGGTGGTGGCCCCGGGAAAGGGATGGGCCACTTCAGATGGGGGCCAGGGACAGCTCAGAAGGAAGTGATATTGGAACTGAGATCTGAATGACCAAGAGGAGCTGTCCATGAAATGACTGGGGGAACAGTGTTCCAGGCCCAGGGACTGTGCAAAGACCCTAAGGTAGAAATTGGCCTTTGCAGGGGTAAGAGTGTGGAGGGAGGGAACAAAATCACAAATTCTGTTTTGAACATATTAAGTTGATCTTTGACATTCAAGAGAAGATTTGACATATGCAACTGGATATATTAGTTCGGAGTTCAGACAAGAGGTTGAGGCTGCAGATAAAAGTTAGGAAACATCAGCATATGGATGACATTTAAACCAGATAGTAGGGAAAAAGACAGGGCCAAGAAGTGTCTGAATCAGACACTCAGACACTGAGGAGTCATGGACGAGCGATCAGCAGAGGAGCAGCTGGAGACGTCGGAGGAAACCCGGGGAATTTAGAGATGAAAGTATTTTGAAAATGAGGGGCCAAAGCACAATGTGGGTGGAATTTTTTCAATAAAAAAACCTTTCATTTATGTTATGATTTTCATAAGCCTGCAGTGATAATAAGTGTAAAGGTGGCTCCTTTCACATGATTGAGGCACCGCTTACTTTAAACCAACTCGGGTTCCATCCTCCACACGCGTGGTGGGCCCAGAGCTCTGCTGGCTGCTTCTGCCATCTTCTACAACAGCTTCGGCCACCGGGCTCTGAGCACATGTCCCATCCAGAGCATAATAGTGAGTTCAGTCCTTGGACACAGGGCTCCTTCTTAATTACTCTTTCAGTTCTGAAACCTTCCTTTCCTCTCATGCCGAGAAAAGAGAATAACAAGTTTTTAGAGACCCTGGTCTGCTTAAATTCCAAGGTAGATGTAACTCAGTTTCCATCTACCTAATCAATGTATTAATGGATTTAATTGATTTTACATAGAATAATTTTGATTTCCTATTAACCAGGTTAGTGAACTACCAGATTCCCTACCTCACCCCTTTTTTAAATCATTATTGTTTTTAAAGAGGGTTCCCTTTTCCTCTGAGGGTTTGAAAAATGCATTTAGAGAAGCAGAACATTTGGAAATCAGCTTCAAATGATGTTTCTCACATTCCTCTTTGAATGATGGCTGTGAAGACAGCCTGGAAACTGTTCAAGCCTGCCGGAAGAGTACTGCCTTCTATCCTTTCGGATTACATTCTTTATTGTTGTTATTGTATTTTTGGATATTGTTTTGTCAGAGGCATAAGATAGAACAAAGATATTGGACTAGAATTTGAGATAACTGAATTCTGCTTCTAGCTCTGGGCAAGTCAAAAATCTCTTTGTGTTTCAGTTCCTCGAGTAAATGGGGCAGGCCTACCCATATTCACTGTTTAATGTTAAGTGTAATTTTCTTTCTGTTTTTTTTTCTTTATTTCTTCCAAACAACAACAACAAAAAACAGGATACATGTGCAGAACGTGCAGGTTTATTACATAGATATACGTGTGCCATGGTGGTTTGCTGCACCTATTGACCCATCCTCTAAGTTCCCTCCCCTCACCCCCAACCACCCAACAGGCCCTGGTGTGTGTTATTCCCCTCCCTGTGTCCATATGTTCTTACTGTTCAACTCCCACTTATGAGTGAGAACATACTGTGTTTGGTTCCCTGTTCCTGTGTTAGTTTGCTGAGAATGATGGCTTCCAGCTTCATCCATGTCCCTGCAAAGGACAAGATCTCATTTTTTCTTATGGCTGCACAGTATTCCATGGTGTATATGTACCACATTTTCTTTATCCAGTCTATCATTGATGGGCATTTAGGTTGGTTCCATGTTATTAAGTGTAATTTTCAAAAGGTTAAAGTCATATCTCTCAGGAAAATAGAATATGAATACATGTCAAAGATTGTATTTATTGAGGTGCATGTTAAGATGTTAAAACTGATTCAAAAAGCATTTGAGATTATGCATGTGTAAAATTTAATTTAAAAATGTTATAAGATTGATGAGTGAAAACTGGTTGGTGTCCAACAGGACAACAAACTAATCTTTGTGCTTATTGACTCTATTGCACAGAAATTATTTGCATCTTTACCAGACAAAAATTTTTAAGTCAACCTCTGCACCCACGGAGTGCAAAGGCAGTAGAAAATTAAGCCCAATACTGCACTGAAAGAAGATCCAATAATCAGTAATATTTTCTGGCTATTTTCAAATGTCAGATAATTTTTCTGACATATATGTGTTTTATATATATGTAAATAATACTGGCTAACATTTCTTGAACACGACTATGTGCTGGGCAACACTTAACATGCTCTATCTCTTTGGATACTCATTACAACCCTACGAGGTAGGCATTTTTATTATCCCCATCTCACAGGAGAGAAGACTGAGGCTCTTCTTAATCAGCCTAAGGTCACAGAGCTCCTAAGTGGCAAGAGTGGTGATTAAACTGAGGTCTGACTCTAAAATCTTTGTTTCAGTTCCTAAATTATTAATAATAATATTATTATTATTAGAAGTCAAAAGGAATCATGAATGTGAAAGTGCTTTAACGACTGCAAATATGCTATAAGTTGCAAGGCATTCCTGTTAAATCTAGATCACTATTAAAGAGTAAGGCACTGAGAGTTACTGCTGCATCATTGTGGAGGGAGCAGTGTTCATTATGGAAAAGGTCTGCTGTCCTAGAAATGCCCGTGAGACTATCTCGACTCTGTTCCCTTGAGCTGAATTGGTTTTACTTAACTCAGACTACTTTTCTGTCTTTTTTTTTTTTGGAGGGTGGATTTCATTAAGAGGGTTTCTTGGCCTATTTTTGGTTAAATGCATGGAGAGGTATCCACTATGAAACCCTTTCTCACTTTTCTTTGTGTTTTCTTTTCTCAGCTTAGTAGAGTGAAAAGAACACAGGTCTCAGGGCTAGATAGGCCTGAGTCTGAATTTCAGCATCATGATTAACTAGTGTTAATACTTGGAGCAAATCACTTAGCCCAGCTTATCTTAAAGCCTGCCCAACTGCACAGAAATCACTTGAGGGAGAACGTAATGTTCATTCAGAGGCAGGGAGGGGGAATCATTTCCTTGTTAGTAAAAGAACAATATTGTTATCTACCTTGAAAGTACTTTGAGAACCGACATTTAGTAGGACATCAGAAATGTTAGTTCTAGCCTGGGCAACATAACAAAATTTCATCTCTACCAAAAATTTAAAGAAATACAAAATTAGCTGGGCATGGTGGCACATGCCTGTCATTCCAGCTACTTGGGAGGCTGATGCAGGAGGATTGCTTGGGTCTGGGAGGTCGAGGCTGTGAGCTGTGATTGTGCCACTGCAGTTCACCCTGGGTGAAGAGAAAGACTCTGTCTCAAAAGAAGAAAAAAAAAGAAGAAGAAAAAAGAAATTTTAGTTCTGTTCTTCCCATATTCTTTCTTTCTTATTTATTTATTTATTTATATTTTTTCCCCAGTCTGTAGAACCTGTGAACTTCCCATCTTCTTTCTAAAGAAGTCTTACTAATTTGCCATTCTTCTCTCCTCCTGGCCCCTCCTACTTCTGTTTCCTCTCCTCTACTCCCCTCCTCTCCTGTCTCCTTCCCTTCTTTCTTCTCCTCTCATCCCCTCCATTTCCCTCCCCTCCCTCCCTGGATCCCCACTTCTCTTCCTGTGCCCCCAAATCTTCTCCCCTTCCTTCCGTTATATCCTTTCTCACCTCTTCTTGTCCCTTTCCCTTCCCCTGCCTTTTCTTTCTCTTCCCTCAAGGACCCTGAGACCAGAATCTCCTAAATAGTGAGACCTTATTTTCACCTTACTAATTTAGAGAAACTGTGGAATGAAATCTAGAAGGACCTGCTGCGACCTCTTTCTATTCCAACTCTCACTTTATCCATGAGAGGACTGAGAACCAAGGAGGTTAAACCCAAACCCAGATACCCTGACTTCTTCTGGTCAGTGCTCCTCCTAACACATCACCAAGTCCCCTCTGCGTCTATTCTATCAACGTGATGTGATGGCTCCTCCCTATCTTCACTTAGCAGTGGATCAGGAGGCTGGGAAATATGGGGAGATGAATCATTGCTGTAGTTTGTTCCTGAAGAGTGAGGTAAGCTCTTGTAACTTCTGAGGCTACCAGAGAGAATGCACCATGGCACATAAAACAAAAAGGCCAAACGTCATCACCATCAAATGTGCAGTGTCCTCCCTAGCTGGTCAGGAAAATGTGGCCTATACAAATTGCAAGGAAAATCATCTGTGGTCATTTTCACAGAGAACCACAGCTTTTACACTTACGCTTAATGTCCCTGGGAAAAGAACAAAACAGCATCCTGCAGGAGATAAGGCTGGTGAGAAAAAAAAACAGATAATAAGCTTGGTGAAAGCAGCCAGAGACCCGCCACCACACAATACCTCCTCCAAGTTCCTTAGTGGAAAAATTAAAGGCAGCACCAGACTTCCTTTGCGTGCATTAGCAGAGGAAGGGGTGCTTCCTGGCCCTGCCCCACTCTCTCCTCACACCGGTTCCACTGGTCCTGTGGTCTTGGCTCTAAATGTCAGGGAGGGAAGCTGGAGGTGGGTGCTCAGGTGGGACTCACCTCAAGAAGGAAGGCACTAAATTAGAAGGGGTGGGTCTCACAGAGCAAGCTACATGTTCTGTAAGGCAGATTCCTTAGTTTTGCATGACAGTGTTGAATTCCCATTTGTATATCTGAACTTTTAATAGAGTGGTGTTTACTGGCCTTCAGTCTGTTGCACTCTGGGGAGGGCTAGTGTCCCTATGCAGGGCAAGAGCATTAGAGAGGGCATGGCCCCTGCTTACCCAGGCTCAGGAGGACAGCAAGGGTTAGGGCAGAGAAGGGGAAGAAGAGGCAGTTCTGTAGAGACAAGCGGTAGATTTGTAGTTGTCAAAGGCTGGAAGGAATGGGGAATGACTCCTAATGGATTTCTTTTTGGGGTGATGAAAGTATTCTGGAATTAGATGGAAGTGATAGTTTCACAACTTTGTGAATATATTAAAACCACCGATTTGTGTGCTTGCAATGTGTGAATTTTATAGTATGTTAATTACATTTAAATAAAAGAAATGTGATAACAAAGAAGGAATGGTGAATTTTTGAGCAATGCTAAGTGCTTTCAGGACCAGCTGCTCTCCCCCAGGTATCCTGCCTGCATTTCATAAACACTTTTAAGTGTCATATATTTTCATAATTTTCATTCTTGTAGTGGAATTATTGTCCACTATGTACCACAATTCACAGAGATATCTCCAATGTTGGTCATTTAGGAGGGTTCCTTTTTTGCTATTATAGATGTCAAACAAGGGCAATAGAGCTCTCTTTTCACTCTGCCATATATCTTGGTTTTTCACAAACCTTCTCTGGAATTTCTATTCCCACACTACTGGGATTATATAGTTAAATTGTTCCCTATATTAATTATTGGTGCCTTTTTCCCCATAGTTTTACCTGGTCTCCTTCATAATGCTTTCTCAATTCTGCCAGCTCTCTGCTTACCTACCTCACCCACTTCATCATGAAAATCAAGCTCTTCTGACTTCATCTATGTTTCCACTGCTGGACTTACAGCACTGTTTTGTAATGTATTTACCCACCTGGCTCCTTTGCCAGACTGTGAGCCCCCTGAGGTCAGACACAGTGTCTTATTGATTTCTGATTCTCTGTTGCCTTTGCTTGGCAGATGGAAGGTGTAAAATATATGTTAATTGGATTTAATTGAATCTCTGAGGCTCTGAAGAACAGTGTGGAGTGTGTCCCTTTGCTTCCGTTGAATAACTACCCTTAGTGCCAATTGCAAGAACTGGAATTGCTGGGCCAAAGGACATGGATGTTTCTCCACGCTTGCCATATTGCTTTCTCGAAAGTGGTACTAATTTGTAGTGTCACCTGAAATGGATGAGTGCGCCAATATCGCTGTCACCTTGCCAACCCATCATTTTTAAAAATGCTAATTTAGTAGGTGTCAAATGATATTTCAAGGTTGCTTTAATTTGCGTTTCTTTGATTACTACTAGGGCTGAACATTTTCTCAGGTGTTTATTTACTGTTTCTGTTTCTCCTTGGGGGAATTGCTTGTTCACAGTCTTTGCCCATTTATCAGAATGATAAAATATAGCTAAGAGATGTGTGTACCTATCTCTTTCTTTACAATTCCTTATAAAGTTTCAAGAAAAAGTTCCTCCTCATAGACGTGCTAAATATTTTATTCAATGTTCTGTTCTTTTTTTCAACATAAAAAGTTAACTCAATCCACCTAGAGTATATTAAGTACTTAGTTATTTTAAAAATTGCTATTGCAAATTCCAAAACCTCTTATCAAATAAAACTTGTATCAGTTATATTATTTGACAGCAAGTAACAAAATCCAACTAACAGTGGCTTAAACAAATAGGAGCTTTTTCTTCTCACTTTATAGGAAGTCGCGGTTGGTAGGGTTGGCAGCATTTTGGTGTCTCTGTGATGTGGGTGTTGGACACTGGAATTCTCTGGGCCCTTCTCTCATTCTACCGCCTTGTGATTCCAAGATGGCTGCTGAGCCTCTATAATCGAAGCAGGAAGGGAGGGCAGTCAGAGTCTGTCAGTTCCTTTAATCAGGAAAACAAACATTTTCTTCCAAACCTATCAGCAGACTTTCTCTTATCATTTTTTTTTTTTTTTTGAGACAGAGTCTCACACTGTCGCCCAGGCTACAGTGCAGTGGTGAGATCTCAGCTCACTGTAACTCCCAACTCCCAGGTTGAACTAATTCTCCTGCCTCAGTCTCCCGAGTAGCTGGGATTATAGGCATGTACCACCACACCCAGATAACTTTTTTTGTATTTTTAGTAGAGACGGGGTTTCAACATGTTGGCCAGGCTGGTCTCAAACTCCTGACCTCAGGTGATCCACCTGTCTCGGCCTCCCAAAGTGCTGGGATTCCAGGCATGAGCCACCGCACCCAGGCCTCTTATGTCTTATTAGCCAGAACTGTGTCATAAGGTCACACCTAGTGCAATGATGGCTGGGAAAGTATTTCATATTTCTCTTTCTATAGCAAAAGCTGCAGGAGAGAAGGTGTTTGGGAAAGGCCATTTAGTCAGACAACTAGGCGTATCTGTACACACTTCCCTTCCCTCCTGATGTTTTCAAAAGCTATTTTTGATAGATATATTTTAAGTGTGTATATATATTTAATTATTTATAGCTAAACTTTATTTCACAAAAATGTTATTGTAAATTATTAGGCCTGTTTTAGTCTCTTCATTTGGTTCCATTAATCTATGAACTAGTTAGTGCATTATTTTAATTCTTATTTTATTATGTAGCAAGTTTTAATAGCTGATATTGGTAGAAACTTTTCTGTGTCTTTTTAATACTTCCTGTTGATGGTATTCTTATTGTTTTCATACATACATTTTAGGATAATTTTGTGGAATTAAAAATACTTACTAGGTTTTAGGCCGGGCGTGGTGGCTCACACCTGTAATCCTAGCACTTTGGGAGGCCAAGGCTGGCAGATCACTTGAGGTCAGGAGTTCAAGACCAGCTTGGCCAACCTGGTGAAACCCCGTCTCTACTAAAAATACAAAAATTAGCTGGGCGTGGTGGCATGTGCCTGTAATCCCAGCTACTGGCTGAGGCAGGAGAATTGCTTGAACCCAGGAGGCAGAGGTTGCAGTGAGCCTAGATCATGCCATTGCACTCCAGCTTGGGGGATAAGAGCAAAACTCCATTAAAAAAAAAAATACTTACTAGGCTTTAGATCAGAATAGTATTAAATCCATAAATTCAATTTAATTCAAATTTAATTCTATTGGTCATATAGACATTTTAGTGTTATTAAGTCTTTTTATCTTGGAATTGGCTCTATTTCTCCACTTATTTGAATCATCTTTTAAATGTTCTAACAACGATTTGAAGGTTTGCTTTTTAAAAGTCACATCACATAGTTCCTGGCCATTTTAAGTTCGGAAATCTGGCCAGGCGAGGTGGCTCACACCTGGAATCCCAGCACTTTGAGAGGTCGAGGTGGGCATATCACCTGAGGTGAGGAGTTCGAGACTAGTCTGGCCAACATGGTGAAACCCCATCTCTACTAAAAATACAAAAATTAGCTGGGCATGTGGCATATACCTGTAATCCCAGCTACTTGGGAGGCTGAGGCAGGAGAATCACTCGAACCTGGGAGTCAGAGGTTGCAGTGAGCCAAGATGGCACCACTGCGCTCTAGCCCGGGTGACAGAGTGAGACTCCATCTCAAATAATAATCATAATCATAATCATAACCATAATAAAAATAATTAAAAATTAAGTTTGGAAATTTGTGATATGATATGTGTGTGTGTGTGTGTGTGTGTGTGTGTGTGAGACTATAAATCAGATATCTTTTCTTGTTTTATTATCTAGCTGGTAATTAAGGGTATGTAGGACTTGTCCTGTATTTTACGATTTTCTTGAAAATCAAACTGCCTCATTTAATTGAACAACTTCTTTTAGTTGTAGATCTGAGACTTGCCTATGCCCTTCTCAAGTTTATTGGCCACTGGTTGATCAGATCTCACCTTCTGTATCAGTTAGTTTGGATTTAATTGCAAGTAACAGCCAACTGAAGCTCTACTGCCTTAGATAAGAAAGGCTTCCATTACCAGAGTTGGTTCAGCAGCTCTACCAGGTCAGGAAAAGTTCAGTTTCTCTTCAGCTTCTTACTCTGCTGGGCAGCATAGCCTTCCTGCCGAGGCTGGTGGTCCACTGGTGATCAGATGGCGAGCGGTAGCGATACCTGAATTCTTCTTTATTCGTGTTAGTTGAAAGAAATTGTTTCTTTCCTAGACTGCCCCTTCCCCTAGGCTGCCTCTCCCTTTCCCACAAACGTCTCTTTCAGTCTCATTGCCCAGATTAGGCCCTTACTCACCCCTGACTCAATAAGTATAGCTAGAGGTATGAAATGATACCATTTAGTTTAGGCTTGTGCTAGGAGCCACAGCATTGCCTCTTCCCAAAGCAGGTAGGTATCATGTAGAAGGTATGCATATCCCCTACTCCCACCTCCACCACCAAATTGGAATAGTTACCAAGAGTTGAACAATGGATGTTGAGGAGGCAACTATACTCCCCAGCATACTTTAGATACCACTTTTTCCAGGACACATGCCCTGCTGCCCTATGTCCAGTTTTGAAGTCCTTCCTAGTGTCTTTTCAGCACAGTAGGACTGCCTGTTTACTTACAGAACAAAAAGAAAAAAATAGTTTATTTATAATCCAGTGGTCATCTTCTAAGTAGGGGGTATCTGGCTAATGGGAGGACCCTTTTGAGAGTTCAGATGTAAGGCTGAAGGGGTCTGACATACAGAGGGGAGAGTCATAGAGTGAAAGGGACGATCCTGGGCCAGCAGCCTCTACCTGGGCTGAGAGACTGAGGGTAGTGTAGGGTGGGGTGAGGAGTTTAAGGACTGAGGTGGTGCAGAGGACAAAGATACTTATGGGGAGAGGAGAGTTATGTGTCGTGGAGTGTAAACTCTGTACCTCCTGAGGTTTTCCCTATGCGTTCTTCAGTGAAATAGCTTTTCTTACTTGCCTAATATGAGTGGATTTATTTTAAGAGGTTTGCATTCAAGGTGTCAGGGCAAGAATGGGGGCCAGGCCGGGCACAGTGGCTCACACCTGTAATCCTAGCACTTTGGGAGGCCGAGGCAGGCGGATCACCTGAAGTCAGGAGTTTGAGACCAGCCTGACCAACATGGAGAAACCCCGTCTCTACTAAAAACACAAAAAATTAGCCAGGTGTGGTGGCACATGCCTGTAATCCCAGCTACTCGGGAGGCTGAGGCAGGAGAATCGCTTGAATCTGGGAGGTGGAGTTTACGGTGATCCGAGATCATGCCATTGCACTCCAGCCTGGGCAACAAGAGGGAAACTCCATCTCAAAAAAAAAAAAAAAAGAAAAAGAAAAGAAAAAAAAAGAAAGAAAAAGAAAAAGAAAAGAAAAGAAAAAAGAATGGGGGCTGGCCTTGGAACATGATGACATTTGGGTTTCACCTGCCTGTACCGCTCCTTAGACTCTAAATCTCATGAAAGCAGGGACCAGGTCTGTCTGTTTCACCTCTGCCTAGCTCAGTGCCTAGTACACAGGAACTTGGTGAGTATTGGTCGAGTGAATGAATAAATGAATGAACAAGCTTGGCAAAGTCAGAGAAACCTTTGTCACATCCCAAGTCTGCCACATTCTCACATGTGGAATGAGGAAAATGATAATCACCTTGTAAGCTTATCATGAGATGTAAGTATAATTTAATAAATAAATTTAACTTATTTATAAATTAAATAAACCACAACTATGATTATTAGCTCTTCCCAAATTTTACCAATGAACCTACAAATACTAATAATCACACCACGAACATTTAGTGAACATTTCCTTTGAGCAAGATCCTTTGCCCTTTGCTAAGCACATCACATTAATTACTTCCTTTAATTTTAATCCTCCCAATCATCCTGTAATTATCCAGATGTCAGTCGTTCCTTTAGGACATACCACATACGCAGCATCCAACAACATCTATCATTAATCAAAGGCACCAAAATCGAGATAGGGAAGGAAGAAAACTTTTTCGGTCTGTCTTGCTCCCGCATTCTCTGGACATGCACAGCTCAGTTGATCTAGTAAGACTGGATAGAGTGTGACTAGCAATTTACACTTAAGAGCTACCCCAGAGCAAAACGTGATGGATTCTTGGTTGTTGTAGCAACGGAGATCACATGACCTTAGAGAAGGCAGAGGCGGAGCCTGTGGTCACTAGTGATGGGAAGAGTCGAGTGTGGATTTGTGAGCACCAGGAATCAGTGGGCTTTGTTTTCTGGCAGGGTCTATTCCTGGAACAGCTGAAAATACTGAAGGCTAAATTCAAACTCTTGGTTGAGACTCAAAGACTGACTGATGAGAAGCAGAAGAGAGAAAGGGGCTTTGTTCCTGTTTGTGTAGGTCCCCTGTGCATATTTAATATTTTGGGACGTTAGCTTTGTATTTCTAGAATAGGAATAATATCTGATCTCTCATTTCTCATGGAGTATTCAGGAGTTTAATGAAGTGATGTTCAGAATTCCTCTATGAAAAAATGCTATAGAGACAAAAATTATTTCAGTAAATATATATACTCCATATATATGCTCCATATGTGCCCTGACACACTGAAGGAAAGGTAATACTGACTCATTTACGATTAATTTCTTCATGAGTTGAAGGTCTGTGTTGTGCACTGAAATCTCCATAATAATACATTTATAAGTTCTATATGCATGTATAATATAAATAAATGTATACTTACAATTGTGGATGCTGCTCTTGGAGGCAGAATCACATGCTTGTTGCTGTTCTTGGATTTCTGTCTTTTCAAAAATATCAAAGGATCAATTTGATAATACAGTAACACAATCGAATTAAGTTGTCATTTGCTTTACAAGTCAAAGGGATTGCTCAAACCTTAAAGCAACTGGTAAAGAAATAAAGTAACAAGAAAAGCTGACTTTGAGGATTTCAAACCCTCTAGACTAGAATGACTTCATTGTATAGAAATGTTTTAATCAAAAGCAGTAGAAGATTTTAATCAAAAGTGATAATGGGCCATGCCTGTAATCCCAGCACTTTGTGAGGCAGAGGTGGAAGGATTGCTTGAGCCCAGGAGTTCAAGACAAGCCTGGGCAACAAAATGAGACCCTGTCTCAACAAAAAATTAAAAAATTAGCTGGGCATGCTGGTGCACGCCTGTGATCCCAACTGCACAGGAGGCTGATGCAGGAGGATTGCTTGAGCTCAGGAGGTCAAGGCTGCAGTGAGCTATGTTCATGCCACTGCATCTCAGCCTGGGTGACAGAGTGAGATCCTGAATGAAAAAAAAAAAAAGTGGTAATGGTTGTTATTAAGTTTTGGTGGTTAAAAGAATAAGCTTCAGTTATGTAAAAAAAGTCCCTTGTCATGGAATGCTCAATTCTCCAATTGTGAGCTCTACGATAACTAATTTTAAAGGACTCAGCACTGGGACACCCATGCTCCAGTATGAGTCCCACCACTAATGTGGTAGATAACCTTGAGAAAGTCACCTAATATTGCTGGATCTCTGTTATCTGCCAACTGAAGAGAATGGAGTAATTAACTTCCACAGTCCTTTCAGCTCTAAGATGCTGTGATTACTTTCAATCATTTCCAGAAAACTTAGTGCTTATCTTTGGAACACTGCTAAGCAACAGCCTGAAATGAGAGCTAAAAATGAAGCAAGACTCAATACTGTCGAGTTACAATTATAGCTAACGCCGCCAACATCTACACTGCACTGGACCCTGTGCTTTAAACTTTGCATTTATTATCCATTTAATCTGAAAAGCAACCTCAGGCATGCCCTAGTACAATAACCTACATCTCAAACAAGGAATGACAACAAATTTTGGGACTTCCAGGTACCAGCCAACTGATCCTTGCATGTATAATATAAATAAATGTAGACTTACAATTGTGGACACTCTTAGAGGCAGAATCACATGCTTGTTGCTGTTCTTCTTGGATTTCTGTCTTTTCAAAAAATATCAAAAGATCAATTTGATAATATAGTAACACAATCGAATTAAGCTGTGTTAACTGATCCTTATTTACATAAAGACAAATATAAATCCTGTCGATGTCACTTTGGAATAGTGTAGGGAGAGATGATTGCTGGGTTTCTTTACATGGCTTTTTATCTACTTGAGGCATTTGGGAGTTTACCAAGCTCCAGAGCATAATTACAGATCAATTCTTAGTGTTCATCTTACTAGACTTTTCAACGGCATTTGACATGGTTAATTGAAGCAATTCTTGAAACAATTTCCTTGAGGGGCTTCCGGGACCCCAAATTCATCTGATTCTCTTCCCATCTCTCCAATCACTGCTACTTATTAGTGACCTTTGCTGAATTCTCCTCATCTCCCCAACCTCTGCCTGTTGAAGAGCCTTTTCTCTTCTCCACCTACACTCACTGCCTTGGTGATGTCATCCAGGCTTGTGGATTTATGTTGGTGATTCTAAAATTAAACCTCCCATCCAGGTCTCTCTGCTCTGAACTCTGTAGGGGCCAAAGAAAAAAATTCCCCTTCACTCCCTGAAGGTTTACTGAAAAATCAACTGATAAAAGGCAGATTAATACGATAAATGGCTACAAATTTATTAATGTGCATGGGAGAGAACCACAGAGTAATTACTCCTGAACCTCCTATGGGATTCAGAAGCTTATATACCATCTTGAGGTTTACATAAAGAATAGGGGCTTGGACCATGTATTTTGGGGTGAAATATTTTGGTTTTATTCAACTCCAAAGAAATATATTCAACTGCCAACTCAACATCTTCGCTTGGGTATCTCATCTCAAACTTAAGATATGTGAACTTTTGATTTTCTCCTCCAAACCTTCTCCTCCTCCAGCGTTCTAAAACATGGTAAAAGGCATTACTGATTCACAACCTAGCCATTCAGGCCAAAAACTAGGGTTCATCGTGGCTGCCTCCTGTTCTCTTTCAGGCCACACTTAATCTATCAGCAAATTCTGTGATCTCTATCTTTAAAAATGATTCAGAATCTGACTATTGTTCACCAGTTCCATTGCCTCCATCTTAGTCCAAACCTCTAGGACTCCTCACTGAGGCTGTTATAGCAACTTCCAATTGGTCTCTAAGCTTTCACTCTTGCTTCCTACACGATATCCCTGCTCCCAACAAATCTGTTCTCCAAACAGCAACTTGTGATTCCTTTAAAGGGTAAATTGACCTGGCACAGTGGCTCATACCTGTAATCCCAGCACTTTGGGAGGCTGAAGTGAGTGGATCACTTGAGGTCAGGAGTTTGACACCAGCCTGATCAACATGGTGAAATCCTGTCTCTACTAAAAACACAAAAATTAGTCGGGCATGGGGGTGGGTGTCTATAATCCCAGTTACTCGGGAGGCTGAGGCGGGAGAATTGCTTGAATCCGGGAGGTGGGGTTGCAGTGAGCTGAGGTCACACCACTGCACTCCAGCCTGGGCAATAGAGTGACAGAGGGAGACCCTGTCTCAAAAATAAATAAATAAATGCATACGTAAATAAAGTGTAAGTCATTGCTAACCCAACTACATTTGCTTATACTGAGAATGTAAGAATCCCTAGTTCTTAGCATGGCCTGTGGCAACTGGCTTCCAGCCTGCCTTCCTTCTTTCCTGCCTTCCTTCCTTCCTTTCTTCCCTAATTTTTGTATTTTTAGTGGAGACAGGGTTTTACCATGTTGGCCAGGTTGGTCTCGAACTCCTGACCTCAAGTGATACACCCACCTCAGCCTCCCAAAGTGCTGGGATTACAGTGTGAGCCACAATGCCCGGCCCCTTTTTATTTCTTTATAACAGATAACCTTCCTCTCTGGTTAGGGACTTTTGTCTTTTTTCTTGAATGCTGCTTCCCAGTGCTTACAGCAGTACTTGGCACATAAGAGGTGCTTGCTAAATATTTGTGGAATGAATGAATAAATCAATATTATAATGACAAAGGCATGTTGTAGAATGTGTGTAGATAATTTACTCAAGATTAATAACAGCAGCAAGGAAATGCCTTTGCAGCAATCAAAGAAACAATCTGTTCTTCCCTGGGCCTTTTAATGGTCTGGTCTGTCTCCTGCCTTGCTTCAGGAGCACACAGGAACCCTCGCCCACTCGGATGTGCTGTTCCTTTCTCTGGTCTCTGTGGATGCCCTGAGCCTTGGCCTTACCTCCCTAGATTCCTCCTCAGCTCCCTGGCTCTCCATGTTTGGGTGACCTGCCTGGACCCTCCTCTTCAGCTTACACACCTATACCAGAGTTCAGCTCATTAACAGAAAAATAGCAAATGCTAATTTCATTACACTCGTTACCTAAGTAGAAAATTCATTTTCCAATTAGAAAGAAACAAGTAGGAAAATAAAAATCAGCCCAAATCTCTCTTACATATACCCTTCAAAGATAATAACAATAGCATTTTGGTTTAACTTAGCTTTAAGTAAGAAACTATCTTGCCCCAGCTATGGTCCTATAAAATTCACCCTGGTTGGACTAGTTACCTGGTCTTCCCACCAGGAAAAAGGAAAAGGTCAGAAATAAAATATAAAGTAACATTTTGTAGTTGATGAATCAGAAAAAAAAGCTTCTAAAATATCATGTTGGTGAGGTTCTGATTAAATTTGCAAAAGTGTGTAGATATATAATATATGTAAGTTATTATATATGTATAAAATATATATAATACATATGTTGCTAGTAAAATTTTAAACTACAACAGTCTTTATGGTTGTATGAGAATATAACACTTTATGTTATTATTTGCCCTTATAATAATCCACTAGCGGAAAAGCTTTGCACACACAAAGGTAATATTATAGTATAATCTACTTTAGCCAAAAAATGGAGAATCAGATATGGGTTCAATAAGAGTGAAATGGCTAAGTAAACTGTGACATGAAAATCTCCAGGCAAAATTATTTTTCATTAAAATTATAATTATGGACAACAGAAAAAATGATTATGATGTAGTTTTGAATGAAAAAGAATACAAAATTAGATTATAGATAGGTAAAATATTTATGAATATGGACTATGGACAGTGAATGGAAGATAGTACAAACACAAAAAGTCATTGTAATGGAAAGAAATTATGGGCGATTTTTTTTCAAAGTACTATTCGAGGATATTTACTGCTATTATTGTTTTTATATATTGTTTTATTACAAAAGGATACAGACAGCAAATAAAAATATGCAATTGCTGATCTCTGAAAGCTTATCCTCTTGTAGACAATGTTTGTGGCCTACTTAGCAAGTGTTCCCAACCCCCTTCCTTTTTCTACAGAAAGGTTGAAAATGCTATAGTAAATTTCCCAGCCCTGTTTGCAGCCAGTGGTTGCCGTGTGACATGTTCCCGGCAGGTGAAATTCAAAGGGAAGTCTGTTGGAATGCTGCTGCAAAAAAGTTTCTTCACTAAATAAATGAGACCCGTGAGGAGAATCCATTTTGTCTTTGTCTTTTTGCTCTACCTTTTTTTCTTCCATAGATAGAGACGGGTCTCACTATGTTGCCCAGGTTGGTCTTGAACTCCTGGCCTCAAGCAATTCTCCCATCTCAGTCTCCCAAAGTGCTGCAATTACAGGCTAAGCCACCACGTCCAACCTTGCCCTGCCTTTTTGCTTCTGAGGACTGCTTCTGAGAGCTGTGACAATCATCTTGCAACATCACCAACTCTTTGGGGAGGGCAGGGTGGAATGACAGAAAGAAATGTAATACTTTATGATATCACCGAGTCATTAAACAACCTCAAGGACAGACTGCCTCAAGACTTCTTGATAGTTAAACACACACAAAAGAGCTCTTGTGGTTTGAACCCTTTCTTAGGTTTTTCTGTTACTTGCAGCTTAATGCATTTAATTGATAAAATAACACTCATTGACCCACAGAGTTATGCAAGTATATAGAAACCACAAAGCGACAGGAAACATTATAATAAATATATAGATTAATGTAAAAGAATGTTATACTTTTATAGAAGGAAGTGAAAAACAGATAACCCAGTTAGTTGTTACTTGTTGCAAGGTTCCCCAGATCTGTTAGTGTTTCTTAGTAGAAAAAATGGTATTTAATATTTCTCATTAAAATATAGCAAAAATCCAGACACCTTCTTTGGCTTGTAATCTTCTTTGGCTGGTAAACATTTGTTTGTGTGTCTCAGGAAACAGCCAATTAGGGTATGATATGGTAGTTGTTTTCTCTTCCCCTGCATCCCCTGACTTTCTTTCATTAATGTAGAATACTACTAAATTATGTAAGATAGAGCTCTCTGGGATTTGAGGATGCACTACCTCGGTGGTGAGAATGTGATTATCGATTTAGCATTGGGAGTCTCTTCAATTCAGCCTCTGTCTCTACTCACTACAAATCTGGTTTTGAAGATGATAACGAGTTATTGAATTTGTTGAGAGGGGAATTGATTGCCTAAAAGCTGGAGAAGTTGGTGACAAAATAGCTTGTTATAAATGGACTCTTTATTAGAGACACAATTCTCACTTATCCTGTTTTCTTCCAAATGGTGGATGATGTAGCA